TAATAGTAGTAGTAGTAGTAGTAGTAGTGGTGGTAGTAGTAGTAAGTAGTAGTAGTAGTAGTAGTAGTAGTAGTAGTAGCAGTAGTAGCAGTAGTAGTAGTAGTAGTAGTTGTTGTTGTAGTAGTAGTAGTAATAATAGTAGTAGTAGTAGTAATAATAATAATAATAGTTACAGTGCTAATAGGAAAAATGGTTCGACTACAATACTACTAATAACAACAATAAAAATATACATAAAATAATTGTTATTTTAGCTAACATTAAGCCCTGAGCCCTGTCCTTTAGGGTTTCAAGTTCCAGATTTCGGCTTTGGAGGACTGTGGGAGTTTCAATGCAGGTTTCCGTCTGGTCTGGGCATTCTGTCTGGCACACACGGATGCTGTGGATGTCTTTCCAGCCCTCCACCTTTTCGGGAAGTCATGCTAAGGAGGGGTTCGTGGTCCAAGAGTATGGCCCGCAAGACTGGCAGACGAAGATCACACAAGAGCACGTGCCTTCGCCTTCGACAAGAGAAGCAGCACGGTTGCACAGTTGCTGCAACAATGGCTCGCGGCAAAGTTTGAATTTGGCGTGACTCCAGACCTCAAGCGCCGTTCAGGTCCATGTGCTGACTGGCTAAACTTGTTCACTAAACGGGTGCGCGAGATTGCACAAGGGTGCTCCATCAAAAGTCCGAGGCAACTGAGCCCTGGGCAAGTTGGGCAGCATCGCGAACATTGAACTCCATGACCCGTGCCTGAGCCTGTTGCCCAATTTCATCCAATAGTGCCTCTACAAACACCCCCACACGGGCAAAGGCGGCAGCCAGGGTGGACAGCCCTTGCGGCGTAAAGCGTTCAAGATTGCCCCGCACAGCTTCGCTTGCCAAAGACATCAGCTTGTTGTCTCGCACACCGAGCTTGCACAGAGCCCACAGAACGTTGCAAAGCTCCTGAGGCAGGAAATGCCAGACGAGGTCTCGAGCAAGAAGGGCCAGCTTTCTTGCAAGGCTTGCTCGCTTCTCCACCTTTGGCAATTTCGACAAAGCCCAAGTCAGGTTTGCCACACCTTGACGATCAAAACCGGACAGCCTGTTGAACGAGGCTTCTACAACACTTTTCGCAACATCGGCATCTCTTATGCCCAACCCAGCTAAAGAATATGCAATAGTAGAAACTGCCTTCGAATCGCATTCCGTGGTTGTTTGCCGAAGAACTTCCACAGTTCTCAACAGCAACACTTGAAGTGATGCACTCTGCACCAGCGGGCCTCTTGCCACGTTGTCTGAAGGATGCAAACGGGAAAGTCGATGGAGTGCAGTTGCGACATTGATTGCATTGAAGCTCTGGGCATGAGTGCAGATGACCTCTTGCAGCGTGTCCGAGCCAATGTTCGCCGCAAGCGTGATCTCTCGGTTCAGTTTAGCCATAGCAGCAACAAGTAATTGACACTCTACTCATGCGGACAACTCACAAATAGGGAGATGTGAAGATTCAGGTACTCAGCTTGACAGCTTGACTTGTTGCATTCGCGGCTAAGTGGAGGCAGTGCAAGAAACAAATTGACACGGCCGCTGGTGCTCTGCTCCAAGCAAATCCAAGCGATACTCACTATGAAATCAAGCGCTACGGTCCGCTGCTGACAGCCTGCCGGCGTCATCCTCGGAGTCACTTGAGGCAAAGTGTCCGCGGAGTGCTTCTCAGTCTCACTTGCAGAGCTACTCCAGGAGTGATGGGTTTGCAACAGCTGTAAGAGCCCCAGAATTGCCTTTCGTGGGCTGCGCCACCAAGACACTCCGGCAAAATCAGCGCCATCTGCAGAACCGCAGGCAAGTCGTCACATGTGTAGAAACCGACCAGTTTGGACTCCAGTACTCTGTTACTGCTTGTCTCCGGGCTTTGCATGCCTGTGGAAGACAACAACCAGATCGGCCTGCAAAAGGCTTAAGTCTTAGACAAGAGGGTGATTACATCGAAGCAATGCTGAGAGTTGTGCAACAGCGGCAGGGTCCAGCGAGACCAGCATCCAATGCGGGTCAAGCTTCTGACCTGCGGGGTTTGAGACTGGGCCACTTCCTCGGGAAGGCGCTGGGGCTCCACGGCCCGACCGGTACTTCTTATGGATTCTGTCGAGTCAGGATCAGGTCAGGCTTTTGACAATTATGACCACTTTGGCATTATATGGCAGCAGAAGTCCGATAGGCTTTAAGTCCTTGGCTGATGGCAATGAGACCTCGACCAATTTACCCTACCAGTCCTACAGGTTCGATTCTTGGTGGACAAAACATCTTACACACAGGCTGTACAAGTGCACCGCAGCTCTAAAGACACGGTTTCTTTTGGGCGCAAGGCGGTTTTCCATGTTCCAAAGCACGTCGCAGGTGTGTCCATTGATCTCTTTGGGACTCGTGCTGCGATCGCAAAACTTCAGGGTTTGCAAGTTCTGACGAATCAATGGTCAAAAGAATCTTCAACATCCACATGTGAGTTTAGGGTATTGACCCATTTCTTGTCGGATGGATGCAAGCGGAGACGAAGCTACATGCTTTGTTGCACTGTCTAGTTATTGGTATTGCTCAGCATGCCTAGCTTGTGATATCATCCGTACTTGTGGGTCGTGCGAAGTTGGTGACTTTGCCCTGGGAGCGGCAGGGAAACTGTAGCAACATTATCTTACGCTAACTGCACGAACTCAGAACTCAGAATATTAAAAAATGACGACCGCGAACCACAACAGGATCGAGACACAGAGTTTCACTTTGAAAGACAACGATACCCGAAGGAGTCTCTGGATTTGGCCAGTACTATCCTCTTCACTCGGAGTGCAAGCAGGTAGAAGCAGGGAGGGACAAACACAAGATCCGCAAAAAGGTTGAAGCCCGAGAGATTTGAACTCTGAATGTCGCTCTCCGATATGAACCTAAAGGCAGGGACAACGTGGGCATGCACTACGAAACCTGTGCCCAGTGTGCACGATCTAAGTGGCGAACCGGCGCCGTCACGGATCGAACCATGGTCACGTTACAGGAGTGATGCCAATGGTCTCTTGAAGTCTATAGTGTGCCAGTAATTACAGATGTCCTATAATGCTCCTGATCGGAGGGTGTGTGTTTGATCTGAAATCTGAACCGGGGTTAGCCGGGGTTGCAAGACAATGACCAATCTCGACATCAAGGCAGCCAAGTCATTGCAAACATAAACATGTAGCAGGCACCGCTGCAGCATGCTAGCCTTTTTACAAGACCTGCCAAGGAACCGAACCGTAGTGTCGAGGGGTTGGGCTCGATGGAGGCTGCGACACTGGCACCTGGCCCTGCCCGCTGGACGGGACAGGTCGGTGATTGTCGGCTGCCGAAACTGCCGAGTGTGCACCATGGGATAGACCATGCTGCAGAATGCCTCGTCAACACAGTAGCGTCAGGGTATGTCAGGGTCGAGCCTTGCTCGCTTCTGCTTCGCTGCACGCAAAGCAGATCGGAGCCAGAGACGAGTTTTCAGCGGCTTCGGCTTTGAAAGATCGTCACCCCCAGCAACCTTGAAACCTCAAAAGACAACGAGAAACCGAGAACACGGTTTGAGGTCCTCGCATTGCTACCCTCAGAAAGGCCTAACACACACGTTTTAAGTCCTGCCGGGTTTGCAAGGAAGGCCTGACTCTTCATGTAGTATAAGAAGACCGGGAAGTGAACATAGATAGTCGGATCGTGAAACAGACGAGTCGAGCGAGACAACGCCGTAAGAATCAACGTTCGCTACCGAAGCTGGCTACCATGGAAGTGTTTCTGTCATGTCGGAGACGAAATCAGCAGAACGCTTCAGACTCGTTCACAGCCACTCGAATCCGAAATACCACCGTGAATCGACGTGGAGATGTCGGTTATGTTCACTATATCACTCCGCAAGCACCACAACAAGACCACCAACACGGGGACACCGGGACCAAAACACAGAAACGAACAACATGAGGCTGGGGAGACATGAAGCCCCGGACACGGGAAAATCAGAAGACCGGAACCCTCGAGACACCAAAACACATAGACGCCGGGCAAGCGAGATCCCTGCGAGTTGCTCATGGTCCGGAGTGCTGGAACATGAAGGGTCATCACTGAAACACAGGCCGGCGTAACGGAACACCAAGGCGAACACCGGATGACCAAGACTCAGAAACACCGAATGTACAGGCACCGGAACAGTCAGGCTGACGCAATGGCAAGAAGACACAAAGAAGAGCAAACGTCCGAACCCTCGCTTTGGATGGCAATGGCTAACATCAGCCTTTTACGAAACTCATGCATGGGCACTGGGCACGCTGGAGCCGCAAACCAAAAATATTATAAACTCACATCGTGCAGTCAAGTCACCGCCATCCCGGAAAGTTGTTCGACCATCGGGCGCAGGTGAGGCACCAAACCTGGCAGGTGTGAGGCCATCGCACCTTGTGATAAAGGCTTCGGGTCGTGATTGCATGAACCAAACGCGCAACATCGACAGGGCACCCCAAAATTGAACAGGACACACGGCAACAACAAACTAAGCACTACGAGTATGTCAGTCAAGACCCAGTTAATTCGCACATGTAACATACGAGAACCATGGTCATGCTGCTCTGACGATAACAATGAGCACAACCACAACGACGACGACGACCACAACGGCCTGCTGTGACGCGCGATTCAAATTGACGTCAGAACGACCCGACCAACAACAAAACAGAGATGCACGACCGCAAAAACTGCCACAACAATCAGGATGCTGAGCGAGCGGACTCACCGACCCTTGTGAGCCATCTTGAGTGCGTTGGTAAGATAATGTAAAATTAGGCTCTTTGTGGGCTCTGGCCTGGTGCAAGGGACAGCTAATCGGCTGACTGTTGGCTTGCGCTGTGTGTTTACGCCTTGATCGCGGATCTATATAATCATCACACCGCGGGGCTGGTTGCAATCTGGAGATTGTTGCTCTTGGCTCTTGACATCTTGTCCACCACACGAAACAGAGAAGTCCGTTTGTTCTCTAAAAGCGGCAGGCGGCCAAAGGCATCAGAGGCGGTGCGAATCATCCCATCACTCGGAAGTATCTCTTCGGTTGATTGAAATCGTCAGGCGGCGAAAAGCATCCGATCTCGCATCGCGGATCGAACAACGTCTCAGACATGTACGAGGCGAGGCGAGGCGAATCATGCATAAAGCACACCGATAACCCGCAAACGTTCCCCGCCTCAGGCGTTCCTCTAAGATCACGACACGGTCTCTGTCGAGTCCAACCCTCACTCTTTGCATGCGGGAGGTCGCCGCGGGTGACGTTGTCAGCCTGATGGCTGCCGGAAAAATAACTTTTGCCAAGCGGGGCGCGGCACATTGGTCTCGCTGAAATTCGATGAATCTCCATGCATGCTGATTGGAGTAAGCGATCGACGGAATCCTTCTTTCCCGAAGCCCTTGCACAAGGCGTATCAAGGCGTGACTCGTTGTCGACGAACACTGTACGATTTGCTGGCTTAAACTTTACAACGATGAGCGGCTACGAGAGATACAACTTGCACCACGACCTCAAGCATGTAGATGTAGGCGTGTCGGAGGAACAAAAGCGGAACAGCACCACTGGCGTAGCAGGTCTCGGGGCCGATCCTGCAAAGGTGGCGGACGGGGATGACGTCGTTCCGGCACTGTCGCCACTCTTTCTCGGCCAACTTGAAGACTTCAAGAAGGCATGAAGGCGTCCACCTACAGCACTGCCGTCGGAGTTGGTGAAGCACCACAGCAATAGACCGATGCCGCGGCGAAGTTGGGAGTTGAGCGCAGCCTTTGTGTGGCTGCTTTCCTCGTGTCAGTTGAGCTCTCGAAACAAGAGTGTCAACGCCGCAGCGTGTGATCAACCCATGGAGGACTGGAAATAACACTGAAGTCGTCTTGCTTCGTGCGCAGCAGTATATAGTCGGTCGTCAAGAAGAACTTGTTGTAACAGCGGCATGGTTCGGGGGTGTCGTTCGAGCTGCGGGCCATGCGGGTAAGAAAGTCATACGGCTGCCAATTCTCGTCGACATCAATCAATGCCCGATCTGCAAACGTTCCATGGTTGTCAGTTGCTTTAATTTTGTGCGGGACTAAGTGATCCCATCTGCAAGCATGTCTGCGCGGATTACACGGCAGTTTCTGCATTATCCAAACTGCTATACCAGGAGTTGCGCCTGCCCCAATGGGTAGATTCGGGTAGATGGTGCCTGACTTGCTATATCACTGGCGTGTGCACATGCCTGGACAAAGCACAGCTTACAAGTTGTGCTGCCCTTCTTGGTGTTCCCGCGAGCGGCCGGACTTCGGGGGGTGCTGATGCGTGTCTCCACGTGGCGGTGATTATGTGAGAACAGCCCCGCATCAGTGTCACCCATCTTCAGCTTGAAGTGGTCAATGCTGTGCCAGCAGCTAGCATATTCTGCCGGCGGTGTTCGAGACATTGGCCTCAGTGAGCTAGAACCGTATCTGCAACAGTGTGGTGAAGATGCTGAACAGCTGCGGTTGCTGCAGCTGGGGAAGCAATCAAGTTCTGCCTCTGCCCATTTCTCGGCAGAAGATGACTGCTGTTCCACCGCCAGCAGCTGTGCCAAAGGATCACCGGGTCAGTGACTTCAGAAATTTTGCGTGCGTCACATCAAATCGTCGGTTGCGTCGCCGATATCGTTGGGAAGTTGCAACGCGAAGCCGGAGTCCATATCACCGCCGTCGAGGGCGATAACGATCTGCAAGAAGTGCACTTCCACTATGCCTGCAGACATGGCTGGTCACGCGGTAACATTGACGGATCTGGCTCTTCAGACAGCACTGATGCCAGCCTTGCTTTCTCGAGCTCCGAGCTCTTCGAACTTAGATGAACTTAGGCTGGCCAAGTCCAGCGACCTCCTAGGTAAGTAGTCAGCGGGGCATTTTCCCTGCTTAAGCTGCGCTGGGATGTACATATGTCTTTCAGGTGTCAGAGGTGCTGTGATGCACTCGTTGAGGCGTGCGACTGCTCGGGGCTGCCAGCGACACGTGTCGCCGTTCATACTGTTAGCAATTCCTTGTCGACATGGTGCATGTCATTGCTGACAAGTCCGTCAGCATGTGCTCGTTGCTGCGTCTTTGCTATTGAATGGGAAGCTGCCCATTTTTAGCCTCCATGTTGGCTGGCTACGCTTGATCTTGCCGTTGCCAATGTCTTGTCTTGATCTGGCCTACAAGTCTGTAGCGTCGCTCTGCTCTGGATTTTCTGCTGGCGGCCAGCGATTGCCCGTTTGCAAGTTCTTGTGGTATCTTCTGTGTGTTGCAGCTTGCGCGCTGCTTAAATAGCAGCAGAAGGTTGCCTTGGCGGCAGCTTCCTCGGATTTGAAGTTCCATCTGGCCGAGAAGGGCGTTTCGGAAAAAGTACAGATCGCTTTTTGTCCACACCTTGTGAGACGTGCGCTGAAGTTCGTGGTGCATTGGCTGCCGAGACTGGCTTGAAACATGATAGAATTAGCAGCTTTCCAGGCCACTACGGAGAAGCTGAAGCTTGAAAACCACCTCGCCCAGGTCAATCGCAACTTGTGGCTCAGTTCTCGGAGATGGAGGCCATGCGCAATGCCTTGGGCAGCCTCAAGGACACCGAGGTTGCGGCGCAGTCTTTGGTTGCGACTAACCTTGAGGAGATTGGACAAGGTGCACTTCAGGCCGAGGATTTGCGGGAGATTCTCTGAATTGAAGATGCAGACATCTATCTCTTGAGCAGCATCGTCGAGCATGCCATGTTGCGCTTGAAGATTCGTCCCGGCACTGCCCATGTGGCTTTGCACCTGCCGCCGGTGGGGAGCTACGTCATCGCCACCGGCTTATTAGTGTAGCGTGGCTCATGCGCCGAACACCCCCCGCGAATCAGCCATGGTTGTCTACAGACCTGACTGAGGCGTCAGACTTTGTCTTGCAAACACATCGCCAACCACCCCGCGATGGTCGGGAAAAAGACAAAGAGTCCTGCTTGGAGTTTGGTGCTTTCCTTTGAGCAGGAGCTTGGCAAAATGCTTACCAGGTTTGGACTGTCGATGCCAATTGGGCCAACTCCTTGTCGGTTGCTTTGGATACAGCGTGCAAGTGCCCCGAAATTGTTCAAGAAGCTTCCTTGAAAACCAGGACTGTGTGCGGGAAGTGCATATGTCTCAAGTTCAACAATGGCAAGTTTCAGGGTGGTTGTGGTTTTGAGCATGTGTGCCACCAAGACATGGTTGCCCGGAGAAGAAGTCTGCTGACTGAGCAAGCGTCGTTTTGAAACATTGCAGGAGCTTTGGATGCCGAATGCCGAAGCGGGACCCGCCTTTCCCAGTGTCCCTCGGCTTCTTGCGGCCTGCGTTCGCCTTTAGTGGGGAAGTTCTTTGCGGCGCACACCGCTTCGAAAGACTGTATCTCTTCGGATGACGAAGTTGATGTTGGCGAACTTGGCGACACTGTTGCCACCAAGGCCTCTTCGATGCAGTCTCCAGTTTGCAGCCCTTGCATGCGATACTCACTCCCAGTCGTGGATACCCTTGCGATGGCTATCAGGAAGAGCCTCAGAGTAGTACTGACGAGCTTGAACAGGATCAACACCCTGCTGCTGTTGGTGCAATTCGCGACAAAGAATACTGCAACACAGAATCTCGGTCACTCTCTGTTTTGTTGCGAAAGACCTCGACAAAGACTGTTTTGCCGTGGGCCAGTAAACGAATAGCCCAATTATTGCCCTGTTCATGCAGCAAATTGGCGCGCGGAACCAAATGAGTCGGCATTCCCGACATCAACGTTTCTAGTGAACAGGCCTTGCTATTCAAAAAGCAGGCAAAGTTCGCCAGGACGGTATTTCCCATGCAGGCATCCTCCCATCGAGAGGATAGACACCGATGCTGAGTGGCGAGTGCCACTTCCATACGTCCTTCGCAACGTGGCGAGCAAGAAGCAGCTCTGTGTTTTTTGTCTCCTTGTGAATGGCTGAGCTCTATGCTCACAAGCTAGGTGCATTTGGGTTTCAACGAGCTTGCACGCCTGCAAAGCAAAATCTCCCTTCAGCGACTAATCCATCAAAGCGCTCAAAAAACATTAAACCTCGAAGGAGAGTACTAAAGTCTACCATTGACCATCTAGAATCTAGCCCACTAGTAACTATTAGATCCAGACGGTCTTCACAGCCTGCATATGTAGCAGAATAATTACATGGCCCAAAGACGAAACATTAAACATGAGAGTTCGAACACTTGCATCGAAATTCTGAGGCCGACCCTAATGGCATAAGAGTATTTGTAAGTGTAGCGGAAAACCACTTTACGCAAATCGCAGTGCGCACGCTCGGACACCTTTGAATGTCTATGTGCCATAGGTCTCTTCGCCATGAAATGCCATGAAGAACCCTTGATCTGCCGGGTCAAAGGAATTTTCGCTTAGCCGCTGGCCATAACGTTAGAACAGACTCCAAGTACCCGTGCTCTCTTCTCACCCCATCATAAGGCATCCTGTCGAAAATCAAGAAAAACACAGCGAGGACATCATACACGGCTTATCACAGATCTTGCAGGTACAGGATCAGGCGTCCTTGATCCCTTCCCACTCTTGGCAATAGCTTCGTTGCGTGCAGTATGCCAAAGGTGCTACACACCCCTGCATATCAAACTGACATTGTGCAGCTGTCAGTGTGCAACAACAGCAGCAGACAACGACAACCACGACGACGACAACAGCAGCAATCGAGACAGGATACTGGCGGAGTGTCTGGACATGAGAGAATCGGCCACTGTTCCGGTGGGCAATGCATAAAACCCAGTTCTCCTCACTATCATCAAGATTCATCAAGCAAATGTCATGGCCTTCCCGGAGCTGCAGGTGATGCTGGATGACTCTGCTCCAAGGCTCGAAGTTTCCGCACGCCATGGTAGACAGGGCAGTTGATCTCCTCGTCGATTAAGGCCACTATCGAAAACAGTTGCCGCGTTCACAGCGATGCTCCAGCCGAAGTCTATCATGCAGGCACATGTGCCCAAGTACTTCACAGATTAACAATTAGTTCACTCAGAGACTTCTCACTCAACTCGGGCCACATGCACTGAGGATGGCGCCCGCTTGCCCATTGAAACGAGACTGGTACTGTGTAGCTTGCTGTGGTGCCAATTGCATGACAAGCCTTTGTTTTCACATGTTGGTTTGCTACATAACTGAGCCTGCTACCGTTTTGTTTGTCACAACATAAGGCGAAGGTGTCCCTGACACATGGTCGATATGCTAGAACTTGCGTCAAAAATGTGTGAACGTCCGACAGTTTTCTCAACATCAGCGCAGACTAGCACAGCCCTGCCACGCTTTTCAACATTGTGAAACCTTCAACGTGTCAAAACAGAGTCTCAGACTTAGTCTTCGGCTTGGTACCTTCATAAGCACCGTGGGCCTGTCACACTTTTGACACAGACAGAGGAATATGTTAACAATTGGCATGTCAGCATGAGCGGGCTTGCCAGAGCCACACTCCCTACATTCAAGAAAGCAGGGTCATGGTCCTGTCACACTATTCAACATGTTACGATATGTTGACCTTGCCACAGTTGTGTTGATGTCAACATACCCCAACAAAGCAAAACACCAACCACTTGGTCACTCGATTCTGCCTCTTTATAGGGTCCGAGATACATTGCTTTGGTCCAGATCGCAGTTGCCAAAGGACCCTCTGTGGAATGCAGGGTATTCGCTCGTGCCGCAGACCACATTCCGTCGCAACCTCCCCCATGCATTGTCATCGATCGAGAAGGCATGCACGCGGCTGGATCTTCCATCGATGAAACAGGAACTAAGCTCTTCGGTCTGTAGATTGTGTCTGCAACAGTCTAAACGGTCCTGAGGTCTCTGTCGCACTCTGGCTACAGTTCTCGAAACAGCCAAGCCAAGGGTCTCGATTGTCGCAGCCGTGTCTCTGCCCAGCCAGATACAGCTATTCAAACTCGCGCGCAAGCCTTGATCATTCAACTCGCCTCAACAAAGGGCCGCAGCAAAGGAAACGTCCAGCCAGCAAGTCATCTTGGGTTTCGTGTTCTTAACCGCTGGATGAGGAGTTCCTAGCGTAGCTGTGCTGCGGTCCAGTCGCCCTGAGCTGAGAAGCTGCAATGCCGAATTATTGGCGCCCCGCTCTTGATCACCAGGCTCATGTTACTGTCGCAGTCAACCAGCTCGGCCTCTGTGGCATCAATGAAGCCTTGGTAGAAGCTGTTGGTGTAAACGGGATTAAATTTCTGAGAAACCCAATGTGCACAAGTCAGAATTCGTCGACAAATGCCCAGGACACACTCAGAAGTGCCCACTGTAATCATCTGGGTGTACTGGGACTCCGGATCACAACGGAAGCAAACGGACTCGATCTTCACGCCACGAGATGCTATAACGATGCTTCCTCGGTTGTCTTGTTGTCCCGCAACTTGCGTGGTGCAGGTCCACGCCAAACAAACCAAACTCTGACAGGCATCCCATAAGCACCGTGTCGGACTTGCGCGATGCCATGCTGCGCCGAATCAATACTGGCTTCTTTAACCTGCAAGAGCTTCTGTCAGGCTGCCACGCATAGTGCGCCAACTACTCCTGATGCTGACATGAATGCCAAGCCACTCCAGAAGCTCAAAGCTGTGAATGCCCTCCGGGATCCTGAGCTGGGCTAGGACAAGCGTGGCATAGCGTGGCCTCCTTCGGACGAAATGGTGCCCCTCATGCCTGAGCATTAAACGGAAGCAGGCTACTCCATTTCGAATTAAGCCTCGCGTCTCAACTATGGTGTATGGAACTGCCTGCTCAAGGATGCGCTCCAACGACACACCGTCACGGCCGACAACCTTGCCCCGCACAGCTTGCGCCACTCATGGGTTGCAAATGCACATCTGAATCGGCTGCAGGGAGAACTTAGACAACTCTCCTTAATTGTGCTTTACAACTGTCTACGAGTCTCCGAGGGGCTCGGATGGGTGGACCGCTTCGTGCCAGTTTCATCTCCCGAACTTCGGCACGCAACGCCTGCACTGACCGACACCAAACTTGTATGGTGGCACAGGGCCTTCACATGCAAACCGCTCAGAACAGAATGCAGTCGCGCCTCCATCTGACGCAGGAGTGCCTGCACTAAGGCGACCGCCGCATCTTGTTACACCATGGACAAGAGTATTCTCGTAAAGCGGTTCGACAATTCAACCTATATACTTGATGTCTCAGATTACGAACAACCTCAAGTTCCCATTGTGCCGAGACCAGCTGCATCCCGATCGCGTTGAATAGCTTGCACTTCTCGAGCCAGCCGAGCCACTTCCTGACTCGGTCGATTTGCTTTGTTCAAGCCTAGAGTTGGATCGCATTCAGGCTGGGTCCTGGATCACCACATCTGCAAAGGATGGACCTTTCAATAGGCGGGACTGAATCTGTGTTGGCGAAGCACCATCTGCGGCAGAAGTTTTCTGCATCTCTTCGGAATGCCAACGGTCCCGCATGACGATGGGATGTCAAGGGTCTCTTCCCTTGAACGATGCATGTGTGGTCTGATTTTAAGGGTGGGCTTGTGTCTTCTTAGTCTTCTTGAGCCGAAATGGGCAGAAATGTAGCTACGCAAGATTATGTGTTCCAACATTTGCCGGCCTCCGAGCTTTAGGCCTGAATATAGCAATATAACCAATATGAAGCCTGTGACGACCCAAAAAAGAAACAGGGCATGTGGAAGTTCACACCCAACCACGTAAAACCAAGGCTGTTAAAACACATATTAAACTACGTCCGGCCCCTCTTTGAACACAGAGCTTTTTGTGGTAAGTATTACACGGGTCTTCCTGCTGCGACATGAAGGCACGACAGCATTCTGGGTCGAGGGTTGCCTTGACCGACGGCTTTCGAGGTGTACATGAACAACTCTCAAGCGGCTGACCATGGGTCTGCAGCGACTTTGGTTGGTGAGTGCACAATGCAGTAATAAACTCAAGTCTTCTGCCCCCCACACCCGTCCACGCGGATGTAAGGCACGTCACTCGCCCTAATGAATCACTACCTCGGACACAAGATGAAGTGAGCAAGATGCTGATTGTGAAAGCAGAGATCCGCACAGAACAACAAATGGTCTAACTGTTCCGTGCTGCTAGAGGAAATCGCTCGCGTAATCTTCCGTCAGTTGCTAATCCAGAGAGTGTTTCTGTCAGACGGATATGGCGAAACAGCGGCACAAAAGCCCACACATCGGAACCTTTCGACATTGTGTGCTTTGCATGACCGGAAGTGGGTGTTGTGTAGAGACGCGACTGCACTGTTCTGATGAGCCGCAGGATGGCGCCGCAAAGTGCGGCTGGGAATGGATCTTAGTCTACGTCCAGCCATCGACTTTCTCGAGACCAAAAAGATGCAAGTGTGGCTCTCTGGATCGCATAACACTTCATGGACAATCTAAGTCTGTACAGATTTTTGGGAGCCAGCAACTCTAAGGAAGTTGGCTTTAAGGATCGCTCTCGACATGTTACATTGGACTCGATAGAAGAAGGTAACCAGAACGGCTAAACGCTGAATCACCAGAAGTCTTCAAGAACAGGATCGCTCCAGCTCTGTCACGACTATGACTACGCAGCCGGTGTCCGAAGCAGACCACAGGCTCAAAAGCTTTCTTCTGCCACGTTCAGAGACTTGACAGACTTAACAGTCGCAGGTGGAACTGGGCTACACGCCGCCTGTGTGGTGCACAGCTCAGAACATCAGGCTCGTCATGGTTCGAAGTGTCCCTCGGCTCTCAATGGGCGCTCAAAGAAAGTTTCAATGAGTTCTCAATGAGTTCCAATCAAGCCAATGCACGACTGGGTTGTGCCGTGATGTTAGCCGTGTGTCACGACAGACGTCGATTTCTGCCCATACTCCTTCAGCAGCCAGTTTGCAAAGACCTTCGGGATGCATCGGAACCAAACATGAGGGCTTTGGAGCACAGGGCCGCAGCAGATGCCCGTGCCTTGAAGGCCGAGTGACGTTGTTGCCGATACATGGTCAGCTGCTTCTCGGACATCTCCCCCAAAGTCAGACCGTCGCAGTCCACCGCATCGTCTGGTATGAAAACTTCGAAGAGCTGGCCAGATTCCTGACTTGGGCACAAAGGCACGACGCAAGACGCGAGTGAGCTTAGTAAACCTCAATAACCTCCAATGGTCGCTGGGCGGCATGACCCCAGGCTCTACCGACGACAGCGCCCTCAGACTTATCAGTGGAAGCTCTGGATGCCCGCAAACTGCCGAAGTACTGCATCGGCTCTTCGAAAATGTGGACTTTGCCTCTGCGCGGAGGTGACGACACAAGTTGCAAGACAGTGAGGTGCCCATCCCTGGCCTGCCTTGCCAATTAAGGCTGCCAATAATTCGCTACCAATACCAAAGGTGCGGCACTTGGTGTCAACAAGAGATGCCTCGAGCATCTGCGAAGCCAACGCAAGCGGCAAAGCCACATCGGCGGTTCAGCTGCCCATCCATAAGTTTCAGAAGTCCGTCCACGCCAATAGTTGAGAGAACATACTTTGTGTACGGCCCTGGGAAGCCATTCAAAGCTTCGATCACGAAGCCACTGTCCTGCATGTACACACAAGAGCGACCACATTGATGAGGCGTCTTGGGCTTGCACACGGGACGAGTCCTGCACCACCACATTCCCACCAAGCAGACGGAAAGCTTCCTCAGTTTTTGCTGCACATATCTTGGCCACGGAGTCCGCTTGGAGCTCTGGCAGCTCCATGTCGCACATCTCCTAAGAAACAGAGTCTCACAGGAGGGAAGCAAGGAGGGTCGCTGCTCCTTGCCTGTATTACATGTATTAGTCAATGGTTCAAGGGAAAAGGTGTGGGAGGCGAAGCGCTTCGAGGAACCACCGACTGCAGGATGCTATCCGCCGCTGCACTTTCCAGCACGACCCGCAGGAAGTCCACTTTGCCACGATTGGTTGTGACGAACCGCAGGCTTATTTTGCCATCTTCCCCACGGTCCTCCATGTGGCTGTCTGCGGCTGGGCCAGACAGCCACGTTTTGTCCCATTCGAAGAAAGAGCACCAGGCTGTCAAGAGACAAACAATGCTCAGGGGCTGCTAGCAAGCACCGGATGGGTAAATCTTAAATGCCGTGTCTGGCCCAGTCAGCTCGTGCGCCTAGATTGAACGTGACCGCTCCTCTGAGAGTGGCTTTCTGAGAAGTGGACGTGAGACCATCAGTTGCAGACATGGGAAATCAGTCAGAGACACCTCTGTGTGAATTGCGAAGTGCAGCTCACGCCATTTTGGGCGGACAGTCGATACGCATGTAAGCGGCTTGTAGCATAGCGCTTATGCGACTGAGAACGCCAAGTTTCGCAGGATGGGTGATGGTGCACGGACAAGCCAGTGATATCGCAACCAGATGTTCAACACCTACTAACGCCTGCAGGGCTGAATCATCGAGTCAGACCGAAAAGCAGTAGCCACCACCATCAACCACCGCCACCACTCTAACAACGAGAGCAAGAGCAGGAACAAGAGCAAGAGCAAGAACCAGCAAGAGCAGCAGCAAGAGCAGCAGCAAGAGCAGCAGCAAGAGCAGCAGCAAGAGCAGCAGCAAGAGCAGCAGCAAGAGCAGCAGCACCAGCACCAGCACCAGCACCAGCAGCAGCAGCAGCAGCAGCAGCAAGAGCAGCAGCAGCAGCAGGAGCAGCAGCAGCAGCAGCAAGAGCAGCAGCAGCAGCAGCAGCAGGAGCAGGAGCAGGAGCAGGAGCAGGAGCAGGAGCAGGAGCAGGAGCAGGAGCAGGAGGAGCAGGAG